TCCCTTCAGAGTCTTCCTAACTAAAGGGTCTCCTCCTGCCACAGGTCGACCCTTCAGGTGAAGTTCTCCCCAGACTTTAGGCAGCATGGGTTTATGGGACCTAGCCCAGGGTGGGGCAGGTTTCCCTCCAGCTGCCCATGGAGGAGGCGTGCAAATGCTGGTCTGCTTCCAAGGCACGCCCTGTGTGTCTCCCCTCAGTCAGCCATGCACAAGATGCCCACACATAGGCTCAGGTCTACTTTGCCCCCTGAGGCAGGGATTGGTGTGAGGTTGGGCTCCCAAGCCTGGGTGTCTCTGGGGGAGGGCAGTGCTTTCTTCCATCTTCCTTCCTTCCTTCCTTCCTTCTTTCCTTCCTTCCTTCCTTCCTTCCTTCCTTCCTTCCTTCCTTCCTTCCTTCCTTCCCTCCTTCCAAGATTTATTTGAAAGTCAGTTACACACACACACACACACACACACACAGAGAATGAGAGAGAGAGAGAGAGAGAAAGAGAGAGGTCTTCTATCCGCTGGTTCACTCCCCAGATGGCCGCAATGGCCAGAGCTGTGCCGATCCAAAGCCAGGAGCCAGGAGCTTCTTCCGGGTCTCTCACATGGGTGCAGGGACCCAAGGACTTGGGCCATCTTTTACTGCTTTCTCAGGCCATGGCAGAGAGCTGGATCAGAAGTGGAGCAGCCTGGACTCAAACCGCTGCCCATATGGGATGCTGGTACTGCAGGCGGTAGCTTTACCTGCTATGCCACAATGCTGGCCTCTTGTAATCATTTTGTTAGTGGTTCTGTTAGTATTGTTCTGAAACAATGTACGTGTGGGGTCTGTGTGTGTGTGTGTGTGTGTGCAAATCACAGAAACAGTGTAGATCTAAGAGGGTCCTTCAAAAGCCGATGAGAAGTTCCTTACCCAAAGTGAGTGCACTCCTTGGGGAACAGAAATCAAAACTGCCACCAGACGTAGTTGCCACATGAGCAGTTGTTACTGGCACCCAAAGGAGGGCAGCACGAGAAATCTCTAAAGCCGAGGTTGCCTGGGCAAGGCAAAGCAGGTGTCTCTTATTTTGGGTGGGGGAGTTTTGTCACTACATACGCAGGTGTAGTCTGGAAACACACTCTCACATACGTCACATGCTGTGGCCATGAGACTTAAGTTCTCTGGAAATCCTAGCGTTAACATTGAGCACATAATGGTTTTTGGCCATCTCTGGTTTTTTGTTTGTTTGTTTTGTTTTTTGAAAGATTTATTTTATTTGAAAGAATTAAACAGAGAGAGGGAGAGACAGAGAGAGGTATCTTTCATCTGTTGGTTCACTCTTCAAGTGGATAAAATGGCCAGGGCTGGGCCAGACTAAAGCCAGGAGCCAGGAGCTTTATCCAGGTCTCCCAAGTAGGTGCAAGGGCCCAAGCACTTGGGCCATCTTCTGCTGCTTTCCCAGGTGCATTAGCAGGGATCTGGATCGGAAGTGGAGCAGCTGGGATTCGAACCTGCGCCCATATGGATGCCAGTGCTGCAGGCAGCAGCGTAACCTGCTGCATCACAGCGCTAGCTCCTGGCCACTTCTTGGCTCATTTGTACAGGTGTAGCTCTTGAGGGAGGGATGGGCCAGTTCAAGGTGGCAGGAAGTGGAACTTCAGGACACCTGTGGAAGCTTTAGGGCTTTGAAGTAAAAATAAATCAAGATAAAGCTTTCAGAGCTGCTGGAGGCATTAACTGGGTCAGAAAATGGAATGAAAAGAGAAATTTATTTGGGTGCAAATTTGTTTTTAAATCTGTGCATATAAAGGGATCTTTAAAACATTCATGGAAAGAGTGCATTATGAGGGCCGGCGCCGCGGCTCACTAGGCTAATCCTCCGCCTTGCGGCGCCGGCACACCGGGTTCTAGTCCCGGTCGGGGCGCCGGATTCTGTCCCGGTTGCCCCTCTTCCAGGCCAGCTCTCTGCTGTGGCCCGGGAGTGCAGTGGAGGATGGCCCAAGTACTTGGACCCTGCACCCCATGGGAGACCAGGAAAAAGCACCTGGCTCCTGGCTCCTGCCATCGGATCAGCGCGGTGCGCCGGCCGCAGCGCGCCGGCCGTGGCGGCCATTGGAGGGTGAACCAACGGCAAAGGAAGACCTTTCTCTCTGTCTCTCTCTCTCACTGTCCACTCTGCCTGTCAAAAAAAAAAAAAAAAAAAAAAAGAGTGCATTATGAAAAAGCTATGCACAGACTTAAAAAAAATTGCACCAAAATAAACTTATCTTCTAATCCCATTTTCCGTACACTTCTTGCAGTGCCCTTGTACCCGGCCTCTGCGAGGGGTGCCACCGTCAGTTCAGGCTAGCCTGGGCGCAGTGACAGCAAGCAGAAGATGTTCTCCACCAGGTGGAGGAATTTACCCCCGAGGCTACTGAGAGTTTTTTTTTTTTAATCATGAGTAGGCGTTGGATTTAGTCAATGCTTTTTCTGCAAATACTGATATGATAATGTGGCTTTTCTTTTTTTGACGGCTGATGTGATACTGGAACAGACTTCTTCATGTTGAAGCAGCCTTGCACACCTGAGATAGAGCCCACTTGTTCACGGTATAGAATCCTTTTCCGAGATTGCTGACCATGATTGGCTAGTATTTTGCTGAAGATTTCTGCGTCTGTGCTCCTGAGATTTGATCTGCGCGTTTCTCGCGATGTCTTCGTCTGGTTTTGGGATTCGGGTGATGCCACCCTCGTGGAATTCCCTTTGCTTCTCTCCTCTGAGGGAGCTCATGGAGGATTGGGATGATTTCTGCCTTAAATACTTGGTATTTAAGTAAAACTTAAATATTTAAGTATTTAAGTAAAACTTAACAGTGAAACTGCCTGTGCCTGGTCTTTTCTATTTTAAAGATAATGAATTGATTTTCTTAGGGGCTACAGGTCTATTCAGACTGTCTATTTCTTCCTGGGTGAGTTTTGGTAAATTGTGTCTTTAAAGGAATTGATGCATTTCATCTAGTGTGGGGCCCCATGGGCTGGCCAGCCATGGGGTCCCCATGTCAGGGTTTGGTCTGATAGCTGTCGTTGTGTCCTTATTGCAAGGCGGATGTTGCTAGTTTCAGTTAGGGCAATGCTTTCCAGCGGTTGGGACTTTCCAGAGAAGTTGAGCCTGCCTCGTAAACAACAAGATGGCGCCAAGGACTGTGCAGTGAGCCTGCCTGCTGCGTGACACTTCATCTGATTGGCCCGAGGACGCGTGCACACCGCGTGAACAAGCAGCGGATTGGAGTGTTCTGTGCATGGACTAGAGCCCGCTTGCGATTGGTTGAATTTCGTATATAAGCTGTGTGCCCAGGAAGGAGGGGGCTTTTTTCTCTCTCCTCTCTTCCTCTTTTCATGCTTTCTCTGTCGCTGTTATTTTCTCAATAAAAGTCTACAGAAGACCGATAAACTGCGAGCAACGTCGTTCCTTTGCGGGCAAGGGAACAGCAATCTAGGTTATCAAACTTGTGGGCACAGAGTTGCTCACAGTATACCAATAAATAATATTAATTATTAATGTCTGTATTTAATGTCTAGGGCCTGTAGGAATATCTCCTTTTTCATTTCTGTTACAACTAAGTTGTGTTTCTCTTTTTCTTCCTTAGTTATCCTGGTTCCATGTGTCGCTCCCCCTCTTCATGGAGGAACGACACTAAGCCCTGCCTAGGCTTCATATCCGAGTCACGGCACCATTATGTCGCTCCCTGTCTTCGTGGAGGAACGACACAGGACCCTGCGCTGTTCTTTCGTCTGCTCGGCCCTTCCCGGGTTTGCTGCTGGTTCTTCCCCATCCCCAGGCCATGTCTAGGTGAGTCTCGCTCCCATACCAGCCTGTTAGACCTGAGCAAGCATCCAGTGGTCTCGGGTGTCAGGACTGAGTAGAAAAATAAGCTAGGTCGTGCCTTTTATGTTGGGACTTGAAGAGGGCACTTTCCCTGTGTGTGGCCACCCAATCTCTGTCGCTCCCCGTCTTCGTGGAGGAACGACACAGGACCCTGCGTTGTTCTTTCGTCTGCTCGGCCCTCCCCGGGTTTGCTGCTGGTTCTTCCCGGGTGGGCTACTGACCCTTCCACCTCCGTGGAAGGGCGGTTCCCCCTGGCCACTTTCCCCACTTCCGCGGGGGAGCGGCACACCGCCGGCCGGCTCTCTCGGGGGCTGCACAGGTGTTCCTTCAGATAGATGTTCCTCTTAGATGTTCCTGGTGCATGTTGTCTCTCTCCTCCTTTATAGTCCTCTTCCACCAATCCCAACTCTGCTACCCACACGCCGAGTACGCTGCTCTCCTCCAATCAGGAGCAGGTCCTACAGTTTGTTGGTTGAACTGGAGGCAGCTGTGTAGAAGCTGCTTCTCCCTTCTCAGCGCCATATTGTGGGAGAGCAGATGCATAGAATAAGTCTTAATTCCAGTAACTTAGTCTAGTCCGGGTTACTCACCACACCATGTTTATGGCTTTTCCTTCAGCCTGACGATATCTGTCTGATTGTGCTTTTAAACCATCGATGTGCAAAGTGATTCATTCTGGGGGCTGCTGCTGTGGTGTAGCGGGTAAAGCGCTGCCTGCTGTGTCGGCATCCCATATGGGCACCAGTTCGAATCCTGGCTGCTCCACTTCTGACCTAGCACTCTGCTGTGGCCTGGAAAAGCAGTGGAAGATGGCCCAAGTCCTTGGGCCCCAGCACACACTTGGGAGACCCAGAGGAAGCTCCTGGCTCCTGGCTTCGGATCAACGGAGCTCCGGCTGTTGTGGATAATTGGGGAGTGAACCAGTGGATGGAAGACCTCTCTTTCTCTCTCTCTCTCTCTCTCTCTGCTTCTCCTTCTCTCTCTGTGTAACTCTGACTTTCAAATAAATAAATAAATCTTTAAAAAAAAAAAAGTGATTCATTCTTTTCAAAGAACCGAGTTTTTGATTTCATTGGTTTTTATGCTTTCTATTTCATTGATTTTTACTCTAAATCTTTTTTTTTTTTTTTCTTCTCCGACAGGCAGAGTAGACAGTGAGAGAGAGAGACAGAGAGAAAGGTCTTCCTTTGCCGTTGGTTCACCCTCCAATGGCTGCCGCGGCCGGCGCAATGCGGCCGGCACACTGTGCTGATCTGATGGCAGGAGCCAGGTGCTTCTCCTTGTCTCCCATGGGGTGCAGGGCCCAAGCACTTAGGCCATCCTCTACTGCACTCCCTGGCCACAGCAGAGAGCTGGCCTGGAAGAGGGGCAACCGGGACAGAATCCAGCGCCCCAACCGGGACTAGAACCCGGTGTGCTGGCACCGCAAGGCAGAGGATTAGCCTAGTGAGCCACAGTGCCAGCTAATTAAGCATTTTTTATTATTCCATTTTCTATATTAGCATATCATTTATACTTCTATTTTGACTTTAAAAATTGTATTTACTTACTTGAGAGAGACAGAATGCCAGATGGACAGCTTCCACGCACTGGTTCACCCCAGATATCTGCAACAGCTGGAGCTGAGAGCTGGGAACTCGATCCAGGAATCCTGCCTTGCTGCAGGGACCCAACTACAGAGCCACCGCCTGCCTCCCAGGATGCATGGTAGCAGGACGCTGGGATCTGGAGTGGAGCTGGGCCTGGAACAGGTTCCCCACTGATAGGGAAGTAGGTGTTCCAGCCAGGGGCTTGCGCACTAGGCCAACACCTGCTTCCCCCTTTTTTCTTCGACTTCTTTCAGTGGGTATCGTAGAGGTTGTAATATACATTTACAACTCCTATAGAGATGTTTTCAAATGCACCACACTGCATCACAAATAGTATGAGTACCTTCAAATAACAAAACTGCCCTCATTCCTGCCTCTTGTCCTTTGCATCACAGCTGTCATTCGTTTAACTTAACATAAACGTATTTCTACGCACAGAGAAGCACAGGTACTGCCCATGTAAGCATGCGTGATATGCACTTCCCAAGCAAACAGAATCAAATGTGTTGTGTCCGTTACTGTTTTGAACAATCAGCTGTTCAATCAACTAATAAGAGAAATGAAAGTTTTTATTTTACTTTCCCCACTCCCTCTCCCTCTTTCTATGCAGATCCGAGTTGCTGACCCGTAGGCGTTTCCTTCTCTCCACGCAACTTTTCACTTAACTTGCAAGGAAGCTCTCCTGGCTTTTCTCCCTTTCTCCGCCAGCGTGGTGAGGGTTCTGCCTCTTCCTCGCCGCGTCTTCTCACAAGAGCTGCAGAATCAAGAGGAGCCTGGCCGAAAAAAAAAAAATAGACCAAAAACCAAACCAAACAAAGCCCCTAAAACAGAATCGTCCTGTTCCCCAATGGATTCAGCTGAAAACTGGTAATCCAATCAGATTGCAACTCCAAGGGCAGACACTGGAGTAGAAGCACGTGGGGTCGATGAGGAAGTGTGCCTGAATGGACGGCACACGCATGTGCTGTATCCCGGCCACCATCCTCGCCACCTCCAGCTGCACACGTCACCATCGCCGGGACAGCGGGACACATCTGTCGGGGGCTGTGACTGGTGGGCTGGTGCAGCAATAAACAGGGAGGCCTTTTGGAAAAAAAAATCTCAGCTGGCAACACATCCCCTCAATTCTTGTTTGAGAAAGCTTTTGTTTCTCCTTCACTTTTTAAAATAAGTCTGTCTTTTAAGAAAATGTGTATTTATTTATTTGAAAGGCAGAGAGAGAGAGAGAGATCTTCCATTTGCTGGTTCACTCCCCAAATGGCTGCAGCTGTGGGGGCTGGGCCAGGCTGAAGCCAGGGGCCAGGAGCTTCCAATTGTGGTGACCTTGAACTTCACTGGCTTCTCTCTCCCCTGGGGGGGAAGGGGCGGGGCGAGGACGGCCAGGCTGGGTGGGAGGTGGCTATTTCCCTTCCTGCAGTAAGGTTAGGCTCTGCTAACACCCCAGCAGGCTAGGCTGTGGTTGCTCCCGAGAACTGAGTGCCTTGGCGTATTTCAAAATGGTCCCTCCCCACCCTCTCCTGTGGAAGCCCCAGGGCAGTCTGCTCCCCACCTGCACTGCGGGGCACTCAGCCAGCAGCGGGAGCCCGCCTCTGAGTTTTCACCATCAGCCTTGTCCAGGGTTTCCCACACCGGCTCTGCTTCCCGTCATTGCTTTCTGCCCCGGAGGCTGCTCTGTCTGGCAGATGGTGACCCCCCACCCCATGTCTGTCTGTCTGCCTCTCTGATGTTGGGGCCAGCACGTTGCTGTGTCCCCACTCCCATTATGGATCCAAGAAGAGTTGTTGATTTTTCAATCTTCTCTCCATGTGGAATGAAAACCCAAGTCTACCAAGACATGTTTTTACACCTGTAAATGTTTCCACATTATCTCCAAAACACAAGCATACTCTAAAGCCAACAGTAACACCATCATCACACCTATTAACATAAAAAATTCCTCAATATCATCAAATAGTCAGCCAATTGTCAATTTTATTTATTGGCTTCAAATATCATTATCTTCTAGCTTGTTTGAATCAGGATGCCAATGAGGTGTTTATCTTGTCATTAACTGCTATGAGTCTTCTAGTTTAAATGCTGGCCTGTCGCTCCCCCTCTTCGCGGAGGAACGACACAGGACCCTGCGCTGTTCTTTTGTCTGCTCGGCC